ATGCCCTTAGCGGGAACCAAACCCAGAACTCTCTGGTCCCCAAGTCGACGCTCTAACTGCTGAGCTAAACCGGCCAGGGCCCAAGGATATGTTTTTTTTTTATTATTATTATTATTATTTTTAGAGTTAGAGAAGGGAGAGAGAAACATTGATGTGAGAGAAACATGGATTACTGCCTCCTGAACGCGCCCCCACTGGGGATCAAACCTGCAACCTAGGTATGTGTCTTAACTGGGAATCAAACCCACAACCTTTTTGGTGCAGGGAACAATATTCCAACAGAGCCACAAGGCCAGGGCAAAGACAGAACCTTTAAAGAGGTGACTAAGTTCAAAGAAGGTCATTAGGGTGAACCTTGATCCAATAGGACTGGTGTCCTTAAAAGAGGAAATCTGGACCCAGATCTGCACAGAGGGAGGACGATGTGGACATAGAAAGAAGGCCATTTACAAGCCAAGGAGAGAGGACTCAGGAGAAAGCAACCCTGCTGACACCCTGATCTTAGACTTCTGGCCTCCAGATCTGTAAGACAATTTCTATTACCTAAGACACTTAGTCTGAGGTACTTTTTATGGCAACCTCAGGAAAACTTGCACACCCAGCAGCAAGCAACTACACTGAAATGTCCATTCTCCCACACACAGCCTTGTGAAGCAGGGTAGAGCAGAGATATAAATGAATGAGTCAGATCAGGCCAGCTTATTCATCACCCCGACTAACCCACAGGCCAAATGTTTGAATCACTACTTTATTTATCATCGGGATCCAGCGAGGAAATAAAGTCTCGATGAGGAAATGAGTAGAACCCAAACTCATCCCTGCATTTCAGAGACGTGTCTAATCTCTGAGGTCCTTTCTGGGCCAAAATGAAAACCGGAGAGGTGAAGTGACGGGGCTCTGTGCAGTGGCCAGCAGCAGGCTAGCTCTTCAGGGGCCTGGCAGTGTTCAGACAGAACCCTTTGTTCTGCGACTCCCTCCATCCAGGAGGAGGGTAGAGAGGAGGGCAGAGAGAAGGGCTTGTCTCGCTCCATGTGGAGGCCGAGCAGGGGCTGCCTGGCACAACTGGTTGGGGACTTGGAGACATACAAAGGACTGTGGGTAGGGAGCGAGGGGAGGAGGGACAGCACCCACAAAGGGTCAGAAGGCCCAAGGACGTGCATTTCCTCCCATGGAGTTATAGCAGCAATGTTACAGTTGGGGAACAAGCAGAGAAGCATGCACTAGGCATAAAAGTTAGACAATCTGTCTAACATTTTGTCCTGAAGATGGACTGGCATCTGGAGCCAAGAGGGCAAACGTGAGAAGATAATGTGGCTTCAAGAGCCATCTTGATCCAGGATCACCTCCAAAGTAGCTCTTGAAAAGAGAATCAAATACCTCTAATCGTAGAAGAAAAGCAACAATTTGTGCCAAGGCAGGGACAGTTCCTGAAGAAATCCAGGTCAGTAGTAAGACAAAGAGGAGAAAGACAATGTCATTGCTGTCTGGGCAAATGCCGACAGCCCCCACTCATCTCCTGTTCCTCTTCTGCTGCCCATTCTTGAGACGTGTTGTCCAACTCCCCCTTGGTTCGTTCCCAGTGGTGCCCCCTTTTTATCAAGTCTCCAGATTAAGAACTGACTGGATGGCAGAATTCAGTTGCTGGCCTCTTTTCCCCACTCCTGCTCTTGGCAGAAACTTACAAGGAGCTCAACTTATACCAAAGATCCATTGAGGCAATGACAAGCCTGCAGGAGCCAGGTTTTACTACAGAGTGAAGGTTCTTACTGGTGGTGATTCTGTCCCCAAGGGACACATAGCCATATCTGGAGACATTTTTGGTTGTCACAATTTGGGGGGTAGGGGATGCTATTGGCATCTGGTGGATGGGGGCCAGGGATGCTGCTCAACATTCTATAATACACAGGACCCCCCACACACACACACACACACTCCCCAGGCAAAGAATGACCCAGTCCCAAATGTTAATGGTGCTGCAGCTGAGAAACTCTGCTCTAGAGATTTGGTCCTCACTCATTTGAGGTTACTCATGATGCTTCAAGTTTCTAGAATATCCAGGGAGCCATCTCTGAAGTCATAAACCCCCTGAGCCTTAGTTTCCATATTGGGAAAATGGAAACCATTTTGCTGCTGGTTGGCAGAATAAAAGAGTTGGGTATAAAAGTGTCTACCATGAAGGTGTTCAATAAAGGGTAGAGCTGCACAGGGATCTGCTTGTGCAAATCCCCCTTCCAGGCTTGGTTTCACAACTCCATATTCTTCAAGGCGTGGCTTGAGCCCAGCCATGTCTTCTGGGGAAAACTGCAGCAACCCCCAAGCCCTGGAGCTTGTACTGGTCATCCCTCATTCTGTTCCTATGACTTCTTGCGCTAGCTCTGTTTCTGAACTGTCTGCCCACTCCACTCCATTATTCCCGTGGGTGGGAGGGTGGGCACTAGAATGTTCCTTTTCCAGGGCATGCGGACTCATCTCTGTCACCTGGAACCAGTCCCCAGCACAATCAGCCCTTGCTTAACTGAATACCGGGCCCACCCAAGACACAACTTCGAGGAGTTGAGGAGAGGGAAGTGGCAAGTTAACAATTTCCTGTTGGGGACAGAGAACGAATCCTACAGCTGAACAAAAAGGGGAGATTCCTACATCCCACCTGCTTCTTCAAGTCATAGGCCTGGACCTGAGGGAGGGTCTCACCCAGTGATTTCCAACCACTGGATGCAGCTAGAGCTTTGGGAATAAGTGCAATGAGCAAAGCACATTTGGCACTGCAAACTTTCCATTTGGAACATAAAAGTGCAATTAAAAAATCATTTTTGGATATAAATTGTAGAATGAAAAACTGAACCAAACTAGGATCACTATAGCAGGAGGGGGATCACCAGTTAGGGGCTATATAAAATCCAGTAGGGCTATGTGTTGGAGACACCAAGATTATCAAGAGGGGTTGGGTTTCAAAGTTGAGAAATGCTGATTGAGGCCAATCCATTCATTTTGCAGGTGAAGAAAGAGACAAAGAGACTCAGAACCCCCAACACAGGACCCTCCAAGAGAGCCTACCTGACCATGCTTCTGGTGTAGGGAGAAAACAGCCAGGGCCATGCAACCAGAATATTCTGGTCCTGTTTATCAGGGGCTGTCCTGGCCAGGGCAAGCCCACACTCAATGTCTGCAGAAGGCATGACTGTGGGCTCTGACTGAGTGTCCTGGAGCCACCTTCCATAAGGGCCAGAATCTTTTGGAAGTGAAGGAGGTGGCATGTCATGTGGCTCTCTTTACATTCAAGTTATCCAGATTCATCTCCTGCATGACCTATAAAACCAGGCTTCCCAGCCCTCTGGCAGATCTCAGACAAGGTTCCCCACAGATAGGAAAGAAGAGAGACTAATGCTGATCAAAACTGCCCTATGCAAGGCCCTTGCCAGAACCGGACCCATCAGATGGTGAAACAACTTTCCAGTTGCCTGTATCACCTCCCATTGCTCCTGGATGGCTTAAGTGCCTGGAGACTCCTAGACCAGAAGACACCTCAGCAAGGTAGGAGCTGGGACCCTCCAACTGCAAGGAACAACATCCCCACCAGCTATCACCTCAGACAAAGAGTGTGGGAGAGGCTTCCTTTGAGACCCCCTGGTCTACAGGCACACAGGAGAGAAGAGAGCACACTGGCTGCCTCTAGGGCTGAGCTCACAGCTGCTGGAGGACAGATTTCCTGTGTGTCGTTTTACCCATTTAAGTCCAAGGATGCAACTCTGAGGAGGTGGTGACAGCGTAGCACACACTGGTGTGTACAAATGCCCTCCCCCTCCCCCCCAAAACCCAGTTCCGGTCCCAAAGAGGGCCCAGAGCCTGCTTCCTTGCTCCCCAAGACCCCCAGGGGCTCCAGCCAGCCAGGTCTTAGCAAAAGAGTTGTGTGGTTTTCCAGTCCGGAATCCCAGAATCCCCGCCCAGAGAGTGCTGGGACTCACCCAGGGTCACCCAGTGGCTGGGTGAAATCGAGAAGAATCAAGAAGGAACCCCCCCCCCCCGCCCCAATCTTCACGGGCTGCATCCCAACATCTAAATGGGGCCACTACAGTCCCTTCCTTCCTTCCCCTCCTCCCTAGGCCCTCCCTGGACAGGCCCTCAGTTCTGGCACAGCTTCTACCCCTTTTTGCCCCCTTCCATCCCCAAGTTCCCCTTCCCAATTCGGCGGGCCACCACATCAGTGGGTTCAGAACCTTTCGCATTGATGAACACCCACTAAATCCTAGGCGCCGCCCTGGCACAGGCACCATTCTTCCACCACTTCAACCGTGGGCAGACGCCCCCAGGCTGTCCTGCACCCCCCCCCATAGCACCCAGGCTGTTCTGCCCCCACCAGCCTTGCCCCTCTTCCCCAGCGTGGGCCTCTCAACACCGCCTCCTTGCCTCTGCCCCTCCCAAACCCGTTTCCTGCGACCCCTCAACTACCACTTAAGCCACGTCCTCTTCAGATTCAGAGAAGCTGCTCAAAGCCACAAGACCTACCACCCCCACTTGCCCGCAAACTCCCTTACAAGGCCCATCCCCTCAACTTTCTCCTGTTTGGTCTTGCTCGCACACCGTCCCCTGAAACTCCTCCACACGACCCCCAACCTCGTTCCGGCCCCCTGGACCCCTGCCTTCACACCCCCCAATTACCTCAGCTCCGTCCCTTTACACTGCAGCCCGCTGATGCGAGCTTCGAGATCGAGCCCCCCACCTGCGGTCGGAAGCACTCACCTGGGCCTCAGCCACCGCGCGCCGCCGGTCCCGGGATGGGTCCCCGGTCAACCCGCCTGCCCGCCCGACCGCCCGCCGGACCGCCGGACCGCCCGCCGGACCGCCCGACCGCCCGACAATCCTCGGGCCGCTCCGCCCCGCCGCGCCCGCCGCTCCCCTGCGCGCTCCCGCTTCCGGGTCCCGGAGGGGCGGTCCCGGGGCGTGACGTAAGCGCGCCACGGGGCGGGGCGCCATAAACCCCTTCCCTGAATGGGCCCGGGCCCCTGCCTCCTGCACTGGTGAGCGAAACCAAGTGTGGGGGAGGACTGAGAGGCGCGCGCGCGGGGGTTGCGTGCTCCGTCTGCATCTATTCTCCCTGCTGCCCTCGGTCACCCCTCCTGCAAGCCCGGGGCGAGGAAACTTGAAGAGTCAGCCTTTGAGTTGAAGGCGGGAAAATGGCGGATTCCTCGGGGCGCGGATCTGGGTGAGTTGAGACACTGCTGATCTGGATTTTGTGGTTGCCGGAGGGAACTACGGCTGGGGGCAGGAGGCAGCAGAGTTGGGAGACGGGAGTCCTCGGGGTGAGTTTGAACCCGAACCCTCTAGGAACTACCAAGGATGCGCAGGCTCTGGGAAGCCCCTGGGTGAAACCTTTGCGCATGCTCGGAAATTAGGCACTTGACTAGACCGCGGGTTCAAGTCCAAGGTCTCCCCCTTCGATCCGGGGTCATCTTCGGTAAGTGACTTAAACTCTCTATGCCTTGCTTCCTCCGCTGCGAAATGGGGCTGATGACCTCACGGCTCAAGCTGTAGACCTCACGTGAGCCTTCAAAGCCCTTAGAACGTGCCTGACCGGTAAATGTGATCTGTCGCTGTTAGAATGATCACTTTGTAGTGGACAAGTGCTGGGCCACTAAAGTATTTCCTTTAATCTTCCCACGCGCCTTTTTTTATGCTCCTCATTTACAGATGAGATGATGGAGGCTCAGGGAGGGCAGGTTATTTGCCCAGAGTCACACAGCAAGAACAAGAAAGACTTAGAATACTCAGTGCCAGGCGTGATTTCAGGGCTGTGTTTTTGTACATTCGGCTGTTTATTGTGCCAATGAGAATGAAAATTTAATAGGCCCCTGAAATAACTTCTGTTTCCTCCACAGCCCTTTGTCCTAACTGTGAAATTGATATTAGCTTCTCTGAGGTACAATACGGGTATGGTACCTGAAGCTGGCACAGTGTATTGACCCCCCAACCCCAACCCCAGATCCCTGCAGGTTTGGCCTGAGCTCATTTTGTTTGGCTCCAGACCCTGACTTAGACTCGAGGGAATCCTTGCTCTGTCCCTTTCCAGCACTTGAGACTAACTAGGGGTGACCTGTTTAAACCTCTTGTCTTTGTCCGGAAAACAGGGATAAAGCAGGCCAACAGTTATGTATTTGTAGGGTTGGAGGTGCCTCCCACTATGGCCTGGGTCACACTTTGGGGTTCCCCAAGCCAGTTACACAGGAGGTGGCTACAGTGAACTGAGCAGGTGACCACCACTGCTGTTACTAGTGGAGCCTTCGACATCAACAGGAGTCAAAGTGCCCAGGCCTGCGCCTGACCCCTCAGCCTGCTCCTCCTGAATGACTGGTCTCCTGTTTCTGGCGTCCCCTTCTGTTCCCATTTGCCCAGACTGAAAACCTGGGAGGGATTCTGGTCTCTCCCAAATCCCACAGCTGACTTGTCTGCCATTCCTACCTCACTGTTCCCTCATCTGTTATGTCAGGCTTCATTCTTTCTTTTTTCAAATTGAGGCAAAATGCATAGGACATCAGATTAGCCATTGTAAAGTGAGCAATTCCACATGGCATGAAGACATTCACAATGTTGTGCAACCACCACCTCTGTTCTAGAGTATCTTCTTCAGCTCAGAAGGAAACCCTGTGTCAATTAGCACTCACTCCCCATTCTTCATCTACCCCAGTCTGCTCCTGGCAACCACCAGTCAGCTTTCTGCCTCTGTGAATTTGCCTGTTCTGGACATTTCATGTAAATGGAATCATAATACTATATGGCCTTTTGTGTCTGGTTTCTTTTGCTCAGCACCATGTTTTTTGAAGTTCATCGTTTTAGCATGCATCAGTACTTCATTCCTTTTTAGGGCCAAATAATATTTAGGCTTTGTTATTTTGTTTTTCTTTTTAAATTGAGATATAATTGACATAACATTATGTTAGTTTCAGGTGTGTAATACAATGATTTAATATTTCTGTATATTGTGACACGATCACAGTCCAGTTAACATGTCACTATGTAAAAATTTTTTTCTTATGAGAACTTTTAAAATTTACTCTCGGCAACCTTCAGATATGCAACATAGTATTATAACCTGTAGTCACCATGTTGTACATTACATCCCCAACGCTTATTTATAACTTTTACACCTTTTAACGTTCTTCACTCATTTCATGCCCTCCCAACCCCGCCTCTGGTAACCACCATTCTGTTTTCTGTATCTATGATTCAGTGTTTTGTAATTCCACATATAAGTGAGGTTTTGCAGTATTTGTCTTTCAGTTTGACTTATCTCAGCATAGTGATTTATATATATAAAATTATGTTTTTTAATCAGCTGATGGACACCTTGTCTTGGCTATTGTAAATAATGTTGCAATGAACACGGGAGCATATATCTTTTAAAGTTAAGTGTTTTCATTTGTATTTGGATAAATACCCAGTAGTAGGATTGCTGGATCATATGGTAGTTCTATTTTTAGTTTTTTTGAGGAACCTCCATATTGTTTTCCACAGTGGCTGCACCAATTTACATTCCCACTAAGGGTTCCATCTTCTTCACATCCTCTTCAACACTTGTTACTTTAATAGCTATTCTTTTTTTTACATTTTTTGTTAATCCTCACCCGAGGAAATTTTTCCATTGATTTTTTTTTTTTTTTTTATCCTCACCCGAGGATATTTTTTTTCCATTTTTTGTATAGATAGAGTGGGAGGGAGAGAGAGGAAGGGAGAGAGAGAGAGAAACATCGACGTGAAGGGACACATCGAGTGGCTGCCACCCGCACGACCAACCAGGGCCGGGGACAAATTGCAACCGAGGTACGCGCCCTTAGCGGGAACCGAACCCGGGACTCTCCGGACTGCAGGCCGACGCTCTAACCGCTGAGCCAAACTGGCCAGGGCTCCATTGATTTTTTTTTTAAGATAAGAGTGGGAGGGAAGGGGTGTGAGAGAGAGAGAAAGAAAGAAACATCCATGTGAAAGAAACATATCAATTGGTTGCTTCCCGCACCACCCTGACTGAGGCAAGGAATTGAACTAGCAACCAAGGTACATGCCCTTGACTGGGAATTGAACCCTTGACTCTTTGGTCCTCGAGCCTATGCGCTAACTGCTAAGCCAAATGGGCCAAGACCATAATAGCTGTTCTAACAGGTGTAGGGTGATGTCTCATTGAATTTCTCTCTTGATTTGTTATTTTTGGTAGGAGTTGTGCAACAGCCTTCTAAGTTCTCAGTATCTTCAGTTTCATGCCCCATCACCTATTCATCATGCCAAGGGCTCTCAACCATAACAATGTATATGTCTGGGGCTCAATCTGTGATTACTATGCATTATAAGGTGTTAAGCAGCATCTCTGTCCTTGACCCATTATGCCACTTAACATTCCCCTCTCTTGTGACAATCACAGATGTCTCCTAGGGGTCAAAATTGCCCTTGAGTGAGTACTCCTAAGTTATTTGTATGACAAGTATTTACCAAGTGCCTCCTGTCTGCCAGGCTGTTATGGACTGAATGTTTATGCCCCACCTCCCATTCATATGTCAAAGCCTTAAGCCCTCATATGATTGTATTTGGAAATATAGCCTCTATGGAAGAAATGAAGGTTAAGTGAGGCCATAAGAGTGGGGCCCTGATCTGAAAGAATTGATATCCTTATAAGAAGGAATACCAGAGAGCTTGCTTGCATGTTCTAGCTCTCCCTCTTTCCCTCCCTTCACTCCCTCTCCCTTTCTCAGTGGCCACCTACCTTGCCTGCACCTTGATCTTGGTCTTCCAGCCACCAGAACTGTGAGAAATAAATGTCTGCTGTTTGCTCTGGCTGGTGTGATTCAGTTGGTTGGCGTGTCATCCTGTACACCTAAAAGTCATGGGTTTGATCCCTGGTCAAGGCACATATCCAGGTTTCTGGTTCAGTACCATAGGAGGCGGCTGATTGATGCTTCTCTCTTTTCCTCTCCCTTCTTCTCTCTCTAAAGTCAGTAAAAAAAACAGAAAATAAACAAATTAAATAAATAAATAAATAAAATCAGTAAAGAACATACCCTTGGGTGAGGATTAAAAAAAAAGTCTGCTATTTAAGCCTCCCAGTCTTATATTTTGTGATGGGAGCTTGAGCAGATGAATACATAGGCACTGTAGAAGGGTAAGGAATAGACCTGGTCCCTGTCCTTCCAGAACCTTCAATCATGTCTTCTTCCTGGCTGCCAGTAGTCTTACTGAACATGGCTGTGACAGTGTTTGTTTCCTATGGCCTATGGGCGAAAGCCAGAATGCCCCTTTTCTGTACAGCTGGCAAGCTGAGAATGTTTTGTACATTCTTTTTTTTAATCCTCACTCAACATTTTTGCACGTATCTTCAGACAGAGGGAGAGGGGGAGGAAGAGAGAGAGAGAAACATCTATGTGAGAGAGACACATCTGGTGGCTGCCACCTACGCGACCCCAGCCAGGGCCAGAGACAAACTGCAACCAAGGTACGTGCCCTTAGCAGGAACCGAACCTGGGACTCTCTGGTCCGCAGGCCGACACTCTAACAGCTGAGCCAAACCGGCCAGTGTGGTTTGTACATTCTTAAATAGTTGTTTAAAAACATCAATAGAAGAAGAATGTTTTGGACACATGAAAATTATATGAACTTCAAGTGTCACTGTATATAAATACAGTTTTATTTGGACATAGCCACACCCATTTTTTTCTGCATTACCCATGGCTGCTTTGTGTTCTTGTGCAAGGTTGAGTAGTAGTTATTGCGAGCACATGGCCCTCAGAGCTGAAAATATTTACCATTTGACCCTTTACAGAGAAAGGTTGCCACCTCCTGGGCTATAGGACTGAGCCCTTAGTTGGGCATTCAGAACTGCCAGACTGGCCTAGCATGCTCTTCTCCTGATACTGACCCCTGCCATTGTTCTCCAGTTAAGCCATAGGGCTGATCAATTCCTATTTTCACTTCATTCTCCTCTGCCCTCCCTTGTGCCCTTGGTCTCGCTGACCCCTATCTTAGAATGTCCTTCCCCATATACCTGAGCCAAAGGTGCTGTATTGCTTGCCTCCCCCACCCCTTTACCTGTCTTGGGTGCCTTCACATTTGCCCAACAGAAAAATGCTGTTCTTCCCTCTCATGAAAGGAGCTCTATCTCGCTCACTCTGTATCCCCAGTGGCAAACAGCAGGCATGTAACCACCTGCTGAATTAATGAACTCGTGACTTAAGTTGAGGTCTTTGAGGCTTGGCATAAATGCTTGCTCTTCTGCCCTGTGGAGCTACTCTGTGTCACCCCAGGTTAAGAGACTTCATGTCCATCTTCCTGTCAAGGTGGCTCAGCTTCGCAGAGAAACCTGGGTTCATTGGCTTCCCTGAGCTTGTCAACTACATTAACAAGACCCCCCCGCCTCTTTTAGGATGACTTCTGCCGGGGGTCCCAGTACTCCTAGTGGCCCTAAGCCGAAAGGAAAACGAACACAAGGTGAGTCAAGTTAAAATCTACCCTGTGATCCCATAAAATAAAAAGTGATTTTGTTTTCTAGTAGGTGCTTCTGAGGGAGATAAAAAAACAGAGCAGAGCAGGGGAGCTACAACTTTACCTTCCTCTGGTCACATCTTGAGAACTTTCTAGTCTGGTCACCCAACCCTGCCTGCAGCCAGAGTTGTGGCAGGGCCAGACGGGTCATTTTGGTCTATGCCCAGGATTCGTCACCTAGAAGCATGGTGAAGAGGGTGTGAACTGAATTCATTATCAAACATCAAAGTTTCCTAAGTCTCCTCTCTGAAAGTGTACCAGTCCCTTGGGGGTGCTCCCATGTCCCATGTCCACCCGAGGGTTGCGATCACTGTGAACAGTGCCCCTTGACTCTTGGCCCTTTGACTCCTGAGGATCTCCTATGTTGAAGCTCAAGCCTCTGAAATGGAGTATTTTCTTTTTTTTATCCTCACCCGAGGACATTTTTCCATTTTTTGTTCAGGTAGAGTGGGAGGGAGAGAGAGGAACAGAGAGAGAAAGAAACATCGATGTGAAAGGAACACATCGAGTGGCTGCCACCCGCACAACCGACCGGGGCCGGGGACAAACTGCAACCGAGGTACGCGCCCTTAGCGGGAATGAACCCGGGTCTCTCAGGGACTGCAGGCTGATGCTCTAACCGCCGAGCCAAACCGGCCAGGGCAATGGAGTATTTTCTTAAAGTGTGCTCTGTGGTTGTGTGTGTCTCAGAGAACTTCGAGCAGGATCTTGTCTGTAACATCTCTTCTGTTTATATGCGGTCTGGTTCTAGAACACAAATTATATCCTTCACTGTAACATTGCCACTGTGGAAAACCCACCACCTTTTAAAACAAACAGGTGCGCCCTGGCCGGTTTGGCTCAGCGGTTAGAGCGTCGACCTGCAGACCAGAGAGTCCCAGGTTCCCTTCCCGCTAAGGGCACATACCTCGATTGCAATTTGTTCCCGGCCCCGGTTGGGGTCGTGTGGGTGGCAACCACTCGATGTGTCTCTCTCACATCGATGTTTCTCTTTCTCATCCTCCCTCTCTCACTCCCACTCTATCTGAAGATAAATGCAAAAATGTCCTTGGATGAGGATAAAAAAATAAATAAAACAAACAGGTGCATTATAGTTTTCCAGAAACTTGAAATTGCTTTCAACTGTTCAAGGAACCCAGAGCCTCAGATTTTTCCTAGATGTGCAACACCCTTTGCTAATGGTATTAGGAAGACCCAACACAGGTTGGCCACACCTGCTTGGAACCAGGGATATCCTTTGCCCCAATCCCTCATGTCCAGTGGCAGACCCTTGGGCTTGGTTCTCTTCCCCAGACCCTGCCTGGTCCTAGCCTTGACCTTAGGTACCTCCTTCCTGGTTATCTGAGCCCACTCACCCTGTAGGCACAGCTCTTCCCTGCCTGCGACATGCTCAGGGTGACCTCTACCTCCATGGCTCACACCAGGCTCCCCGTTAACTATGGGTGGCAGCTACAAATCCTGGTGTGAAGATATGGTAGAAATCAGTCTTGCTGAACTGAACTGGCGAGCTGTGTGACATTGACCGTATCACTTACCCTCGGTCTCTTCAGTAAAACGGCACCCTGAGCTCTAGAGGCACCTAGAAAAAAGTGCAGAATCATGCATTTGATCATTGTTGAGCACCTACTCCCTGCAGGGTGGTGGAATACAGCAGTAAGCCAAACAGACATAAGTTCCTGCCCTCGGGGAGCTGGCTGTCTGGGACATGAGCAGTGTAACCAGTGGAGAAGTAAGGAGACCCAGGGTGCAGAGGATGATACCAGATGCTGTGGGTAAAACAGCAGGGTCTAAGAGAGGTGCTGGGCTTAGCAGAGCTGGGAGGGGGGCAGGCGCAGGAGCAGCCCATTGGTTCTTTTGGAGAACAGCAAAAGGGAACGGAGTGAGTGAGGGGAGCAGGGAGGTGACTAGGTCAGAAGGATGCCTAGAGACACTCTGGCTTCACCAGCTGGTGGATCTGCAAGACAGCCTGTTGTCAGCCACCAGGGGTCAGCGGGCCAGGAGGCCATAGGTTATTTCAAGAGGAGGGGGCATGAGAGCAAGCACTGTGCTCAGTGCTGCCAATAGCTCTGGATGAGGACTAAGAATGGCTGATGGGTTTTGGAACAGGGAGGTCTTGCTGAAATGAATTTCTTCTGTGCAGTGGTGGATGTGAGATTCAAGGTGTGTGGGGGGATTCAAGGGGAGAGGGAGGAGGGGAGAAGGAACCAGCATTGTCAAGGGGAGGCAGAGAAGTGAGGGTGAGCCCAAGGGGCTGGATTGGGGGAGATTAACAGTGTGACCTGTGGAGAGGAGCAGGAGAAGTATGGGGGTGAGGAGGAGACGGGTTGTCAGGGCCGTTTCCTTATGGGGTGGGGGCTGGGCTCTAACAACAAGAGTGGGGATTCTCTTTACCCAGGAGCAGAGGTCCCTCCACATGGTGGGACCAGGATGCTGCCCTGAGGTTGGGAGGTGGCTGGATGCCAAGACAGGAGGGTCTTCTGGGCCGCTGCTATCTTCCTAGTGATCCCCAGCTGACCAGAGGGATGGGCCCGGAGGAGAAGGTATGAGGGAGGGTCCGGGAGAGGGAGTGGGGGACAGAACAAATAACTGTGAGTGATTACTGGGGTTGCAGCGGAGCCCCTGGATGTTGGGAGGACATGTGGGGTTTCCTCTATCCATGTTCAGTGCCCAAGGGGCAGGTGTGGAAGAGGACCTGTGCTGGGCTTTCACAGGGATATGCTGTGTCTGAGAAGGGCCTTGGTGCTGAATGTGTCCAGGGGAGAGTGGTCCTGATCTAGGAGAGGTGGGGTGAGGGTATATGAAAGGTGGTACCATGAGTGGGCCAGAGATACTGGGAGAAGGGGCGATTGGGGTCACGACCACAAAGGGCAAACAGATGGCCCTTTGTGGTAGGTTTGTCTTCCTTTCCCTACCCTGCCCCTGAGTCTTCTTTCTGCTCCTGTGGATCTCTGTGGCTTTGTCTCAAGCCCAGGGACCGGTATATAGTAGGTGTCTCAAACATGTTTTTGCATACAGTAGGTGTCCCATAAATGTTCTTGCACATATTAGGTGTCCCAAACATACTTGAGGGTACTGAAGAACAGGGTCTGAGAGGAGCAAGGGGGATCAGCTCCCCCATTTCTGCTTTTGAGCAGGGAGGGCTGATAGCACCTGGCTCTGGGGGAGGGATATGGATCCTCATGCATGCTGGGTCTTCACGTACCACTATTGTAGTTTTGTTATAAACCAACAGTGTGTCCCCCACAGGTGGAAAAGTGGTCGAATCCCGATATCTGCAGTATGAGAAGAAAACCACCAAAAAGGTAACACATACTGTATGAAGCAGTTCTAATGGGAGTTCTGATGAATTTAGGATTCTGACACAAGTTATCAAGCCAGACAGCCTGGTTCCAAAGGCAGCATTTTGCGGATTTTGCCCACTTGCCTTTGAGGTCATTGTGCCCTTCATACTGAGTCATGTGTCTCTGTTGTGAGTGGCCAGTGTCTTTGAGAATTCCTTTTGCAAAGCCATGATCTCTGTTGAAACCTAAAATTGTTCTGCTTTTCAACCCCATCATTCCTTTTGGATTCTGTTCTGAAAGCAGCTCTAGTAAGTGTCCAGCATACAGTTCCTGGCCTTAGCTGGTATTTAAAAAATACCTGCAGAGTTATAGACAACTGTGGGGAAAATAATGTACCTGAAACACCAGTAGTAGAGGAAGAGTTTCATGAACTACCTTGAAAATAATGAAATCATTGCAAATGATGGCATGGAACACTTAACAACATGAGAACATACTTTGTATGATGTTTAATGAAAACAATCAGTGTGTTACCCAATTACATATTTTGTTTCAGTGTGTTCCTACTGCGAATGTGTTGAGGTGAAGGTCGTGTTATCCCTCTATTTTCCCAATAATTGTTTATGGTAAAACTTAGTTAAATATTCATTTCCACTATCTTTTTTTTTCTTTCTTAATCCTCACCCGAGGATATTTTTCCACTTATTTTTAGACAGAGTGGGAGGGAAGAAGGAAGGGGGGGAGACAAAGAGGGACAGAGAGAGAGACAGAGACAGAGACAGAGACATTGACTGGTTGCCTCCCACACGACCCCGACCAGGGGGACCAAACCGCAACCAAAGCACGTGCCCTTGACCGGAATTGAACCTGAGATTCTTTGGTCAGCTGGCTGGCGTTCTAACCGCTGAGCCAAACTGGCCAGGGCATTTCTACTATCTTTTTTAATCTGTATAGGGTGGATTGCGGGTTCTTAAAAATGTGACTTAAGGTCCAGCCTGAAGAAAAAGGATAGCTTTGCACAAACTGTTTCATATACTTCTTGGAGTGATTTTTTTTTTAATGGACTTTTTAAAAAAATTAAACTTATTGAGGGTGACATTGTTTAATAGGATCATATAGGTTTCAAGTGTACAGATCTTGTTTCACAGATCTGTGATACAAGGTCTGTATCCTACATTGTGTGCCCACCAGCCAAAGTCAGACCATCTTCCGTCACCATATATTTGGCCTCTTTACCTTCCCCACCCCATCCCTTCCCTCTGGTAACTACTACACTGTGGTTAGCATCTATGAGGTTCAGTTTTATATCCCACATGAGTGAAGTCATGGTTCTTAGCTTTTTATGATTGACTTATTTCGCTTAGCTATTATGCTATCCATGTTGTTGCAAATGGCAGTATTTCATCTTTTCTTATGGCTAAGTGGTATTCCATTGTCTATATTTAGTACATCTTCTTTGGACTTTATTTTTTTAAGAGCAGTTTTAGGTTCACAGCAAAATTAAGTAGAAGGTACAGAGATTTCCCATGTACTTACCTCCCCACTGCATACATGTGCAGCCTCCCCCACTATCAGCATCCTGTACCAGAGGGGTGCATATTTACAGTCATGAACCTGCATTGATACATCACTCAGAATCCGTGGTTTACAGTATTGAAGTGATGCTCAACAAAGGATCACAGCCCACTTCATAATTGTAATGTTGCCTTGTAGACTTGGTTACAGCGCCCCCGTGTGTCTACTTGCTGCATGTAGTATTTTAGATCTTGAAGAGCTTCCTTATTTTCTTTTTTTACATGTTTTAAATTAAGGTATAGAAGTCCTCATTTAATGTCGTCAATAGGTTCTTGGAACTGTGGTGAAACGATGTGTAATGAAACCAGTTTTACCGTAGGCCAATTGATGTAAACAAGAGTAAAGTTCCTATGACATCTCATCAACTGTGTAATGAAACAGTGTTATTTGAGGACCCACTATATAATGTACATAGAGTAAGTGATACTCTTGTCAGCATCCAGTTCTGTGAATTTTGACAAACACATCCAGTCACAGACCCACCACAATCAAGATGCAGAACAGTCTGTCGTCTCCCAAAATCCCCTTGTGCAGCTGTGATGGAGCTGGCCCCAGGCAGCCCTGATCTATTTTCTGTCCCTGTAGCTTTGGCTTTTCCGTAGGTCATTTAAAAAGTGTCACACAGGATGCAGCCTCTCTTATCTGCCTTCTTTCACATAAAGAGCATGTTGCCTGTCACACCTAGTGTTCCTTCTGATGGCTAAAGAATATTCCATTGTATGGATGGACCACAGTGTGCTCAGCCAGTGAAGGACATTTGGTTTGTTTCCAATTTCTGGTGATTTTGAATAAAGCCACCTTAAACATTTCTGTGCAGGAGTCTGTGTGGTCATAGTATCATTTCTCCTAGGAGGGAACTTACTGGGTTATAGTGTAAGCATGCGTGTGACTCTGTAAGAAAATGCCTATTGTCCAAAGTGGCTGAACCATTTTACATTCCCACCAGCCAGAGAGGGTTCCAGTCAGTACTGTAAGATTGAAGCCATTCTAGTGGGTGTGAAGTAGTATCTCATGATGGTTTTAATTGCATTTCAATAACAATTTATGATATTGAGCATCTTTTCATGGACTTATTGTCCATTCTTATACCTGTGGTGATTTGTCCATTAGAATTTGACCCCTTTTTTAATTTGGTTGTTTGTTTTTCCATTAAGGAGTTTTGAGAGCTCTTTCTACATCTTGGATGTCAACCCTGTATAGTGATTTGCAAATATTTTCTCCCACTCTGTGGCTTGTCCTATTTTTTTAATTAAAATTTATTTATTGATGAGGGAGAGAAATATATTTGATTTATTGTTCCACCCATTTATGCACTCATTGGTTGATTCTTGCATGTGCCTTGATTTGGGATTGAACTCATAACCTTGGTATATTGGGATGATGCTTTAACCAGCTGAGCTATCCGGCCAGGGTATGGCTTGTCTTTTGTGGCTTCATTTTCCTAAGTGTCTTATGAGGAGCAGAAATTCTTGATTTTGATGAAGTCCAAGTTATTGATTTTGCATTTATGGATTATATTTTTGGTGTCTTACCTAAGAAATCTTTGCCTAGCCCTGGCCAGTTTGGCTCGGCAGTTGAGCATCGGCCTGTGGACCAGAGAGTCCTGGGTTCGGTTCCTGCTAGGGGCACGTACCAGAAAAAAAAAAGAAAGAAAGAAAGAAAGAAAGAAAAGGAAATCTTTACCTAACCCAAGATCAAAAAGACTCTTCCATATTTTCTTTTAGGAGTTTTATAGTTTTGCATTAAGATCTGTGATCCAGCTCTGGACGGTTTGGCTCAGCAGTTGGATTGTCGGCCCGTGGACCAATGAGTCTCAGGGTTGATTCTGGTCAAGGGCATGTACCTCGGTTGTGGTTCGTCCCTGGTCCTGGTTGTGTCATGTGAGAGGCAACTCACATTGATGTTTCCCTCTCTCTCTCTCCCTCCCACTCTGTCTGATGATAAATAGAAAAATGTCCTTGGGTGAGGGTTAAAAAAATAATAATTAAGATCTGTGATCCATTATATCTGGTGCAATGTTGGAAAGGAAGTTCATTTTTAAGTGTATGGATGTTCTCATATTACAGTACCATTTGTTGAAATGACTTTCCCCATTTATTGTCTCATCACCTGTGTCAAAAACTAATTGCCACCACACCAGTGTGGCTTAGTGGATGGTGCATTGTCCCATGGACTGAGAGGTCCCTATTCAATTCCTGATCAGGGCACATGCCAGGGTTGTGGGCTTGATCTCCAGTTGGGGGTGTGCAGGAGGCAGCCGATTGATATTTCTCTCTCACATGGATGTTTCTATCTCCCTCTCTCTCTAAAAATATCAATAAAAATATATTTAAAAAAAACACAGAATCATGTCTGAAAGATGAATTTTACTTTTTCCTTTACTGCCTGTTTGCCTTTTATTTCTTATACTAAGGCAAGGTTGAATAGTTGTGGTCTCTGTGCATTGAAGTATGTTCACTCTTTAAAGGTTTCTTTTTTCTTTTATGTTATATTACAATGGCTTGCTAGCTCCATGTGTCGTTTGCCTTTTTGTAAGTTTTGAAGATTAATACCTGTACAAAATCTTTGTTTTTCCTGAGGACCAAAATAATATAGTCTGTTTATAAAACTGGCAAATACTAAAAAGTATACAGAAAACCAGTCATCTGTAATCTGCCATGTTGGAGATAATCACTGGCAAACATTTTGGTAGTTTCCTATGTTCTATGCATGTGAGGATATCCTTTTTGGCAAAATTAGTTTGTCCTGTATTTATGAAATTAAATGTCAGCACTCCTTAGTTCTGTCCCTTGCTTCAAAGTAAGAGCAGGTGCAGACCATAAAGCATCTCATGAACGGGAGGTATCTTGTTCCCTGACTGTCATGTGTTCCCTAACAGGCTCCTGCAACAGATGCTTTAAAGACCAGTGGGAAGATATCTGAAGGTGGAAGGAAACCTAACTCACTCCAGAAGAGCAAAGGTCTGTAACGCTGGAGGGAGTGTGTAAAACAACTGTGGAGCTCGGGAAGTAATGAGCGTTGTGGTGAATTATGTTTTCAAGCTAAATTAAAATTACCTCTTTTCTTTCTTGGAATCATCATAAGAAAGAGCTGGGAAAAGTGTAAGGACAGATTTGGGGCAGGTCGGGGAGCTGAAAGGGGATGGCAGGGGGGTGGGGGTGGTCACTTCCTTCCTGTGTGCCCCAGAGAAAAGCCAGGTTGCCAACATGGCTCTTTCTTGTGACAACAGTTCCTTAATCATGTGAATATTTCCTGCCAGAGCTCCAAGACCAGGACTAGAAAAGGTGTGAGGCCTCAGCCTCCTGCCTCTCACTGCCTTGGGTAGGGTCTTCCTTGTAATGGTCTCCCAATATCTTTCATCTAAAAGCTTTCAGTTTTGCTGATTATAGATGTGGCATGTGTTCATTATTTAAAAAGAAAATAAAGGAAAATTTAGACCAGGAGGGGGAAGTTCCCTCGCAATCTGCTGTTCAGACCATCACTGTTGGCGGGTTTGGTATAGTTCTGGTCAGCGTGTTCATGTAGAAGTCTGGAAAGGCCGCTCCCACTATAGCAGTTTGTCCAGTGCCTTACGTGCCCATCTCTATAGCAAGGTGGGACAACTCTTCTTTTGCATGAGAGCAGTTCACAAAGAGCAAAACTATTTCTCAGCCCTCACTTCTTTGTTCAAAATGGCAATAGCTTTGAGTCTCAGGAAAAAATTAAATATATTCTCTTACAACTTTTATTTTCTACCTTATTATTCAGATCAAGGGTCAGCAAACCTTTTCTGAGCCAGACAGTAAATTGTTTAGGCTCTGCAGGACAAATACTCTCTGGCACAAAGACTCTACTCTGCCATTTGTAGCATGAAAGGAACCACAGACCATATATACACAAATGGGCATGTCTGTGTCCCAGTAAAACTGTTAACAAACAGAGAAAGTGGACTGGGTTTGGCCTGCAAGCTGTAAGTAAGCTGATACTGATTTAGATGTTTGTCAGAATTTGCACTATTCCTTGATCCAGACATGATTGAGAAGTAGGCACCACCTTCTAGTGTTTTCTCTTGCAATTAGTTGAGCACCATGCATAAAGCTGAGAAAACTGGCATGGCCTGAGGGGTCAGAAACTGGTAGTGTCACATTTCAAAATCAGGGTTCTCACCTGGGGGCAATTCTCACCCCTAGGGAACACTGGACAATATCTGGAGACATTTTTAGTTGTTGTGAATGAGGGCGGAGCTATGCTACTTGCATGTAATGGGTGGAGGCTAAGGATGTTCAACACCCTGTAGTGCACAGGACAACCCCACAGCACAAAATTATCCAGCCCCAAATGTCAGTAGTGCCAAGGCTAAGAAACCATAGTTCACGCATAACTATGATTTAGAGGACTACTTTTCGAATTCCATTATATGACTTTATAGGAAAGTACATTTCTTAATGGAAGTACTGTACATGCAGATGACAAAACATTTAACCTGTGCAGAAGCCGTAGCAATAAAAAGTCACCATCTCCCACCTCAAATTCCCAGCTTCCCACCCAGGAGGCAGCTACTCTTGATATATTTTTGTCTATTTAGAATTTTTAAAAGATTTTAACACAAATGCTACCTTGCCCTACACATTGTTGTGACTTTGCTCTTTTTATTTCCACATATTCATTTTCTCAACTGCATAGTTGTTCATGTAATTGTTTTCTGTTTTAGTTCCTAATATGATAGAGTGCATTGTCATACCACCTGTTCATTTTGCTGTCCTCTGGAGCCCTTACTTAATTAAAGCATGCAGTACACAAGTGCCCATTTTAGATGGTATAGGGTATAATTTCACTTTTTTTTAAATCCTCACCCAAGGACATTTTTCCATTTTTTGTTCAGATAGAGTGGGAGAGAGAGAGAGAGGAGAGAGAAACATCGACGTGAAAGGGACACATTGAGTGGCTGCCACCCGCACGACCAACCAGGGCCGGGGACAAACTGCAACTGAGGTACGTGCCCTTAGCGGGAACCAAACCCAGGTCTCTCTGGACCGCAGGCCGACGCTCTAACTGCTGAGCCAAACCAGCCAGGGCTAATTTCACATTTTTAAATAGGGGCTAAATGATAAAGGGAACAGTCCAAAAGCTGCTGAAGAAAGAGCCATGGCATGTGTTAGACTCATATCGTGAACACAGCAGCTTTTCTTGAACTAAGTAGAAAGACTTACTTGCATCTTTGGGTTATACAGAATCCCTCTCTTGTCTAATTCTTCTTTAAAATATATTCAAGTTGATGCCTGGAAATTTCCAAAGGTTTTTCTGCCTTTTCTACCTAGCAACAGGCTTAGGTTTGGAAGCAAGTGGTATTGTCCAAAAATGTTGTCTGCTTCCTGGCTTAGGTGTAGGGCATCTTAGTGACTGTGTTGACTTCAAAGGATTCTCCTTGGGCCCACAGAGAGCAGTGGCATCTTCAGCAAAGGTGACCTACAGTCCACGTTACTGGATGGACACGGCACCGCCCCACCGTATCTGGACCTCTCAGCTATTAACGGTAAATTGTTCATTCCACCCCTTATTTTCCCAGTTGGGGGTTGCAGTGCATCTCAGCAAGCTTTCTAAGTTTGCTCTTCTCACCTTAAAAATGCTTTCCTTGATCTTAGACAAAAGTATGCTCAGAAAGACTCCACAATTAGAAAAAACAATGTCAAAGAAAACCGAGTCGACATCATTTTCTGCCTCGCAGGAAAAGGACTCAGTAAGTATCTGAAATGAGAGGGAAACTGCTAATGGTTTGGATAAATCTGATTTAGCTCCTGCCCTGTGCCAGGTGCTATGTGAAGCCTGGGGATCCAAGATCATGCCTTTTAGGCCCTAGCTGGTTTGGGTCAGTGGTTAGAGCAGCGGTTCTTAACCTGTGGGTTGTGACTCCTTTGGGGGTCGAATGACCCTTTCACAGGGATTGCCTAAGGCGATCGGAAAACACATATTTTCGATGGTCTTAGGAACCGAGACACCGCTCCTCTATTCATCTCCAGGTGGGTCCACTCACATGCAGATACGCCCACATACAGCATGAGGAACTGTATTAAAGGGTCGCTGCATTAGGAAGGTTGAGAATCACTGGGTTAGAGCGTCGGCCTGCAGACCAGAGAGTCCCGGGTTTGCTTCCCACTAAGAGCATGTACCTCGATTGCAGTTTGCCCCCAGTCCCAGTTGGGGTCGTGTGGATGGCGGCCAGTCGATGTGTCTTTCTCACACCGATGTTTCTCTCTCTCTTCCTCTGTCCCTCCTGCTCTATCTTTTTTTTTTTTTTTTTAATCCTCATCTGAGGACATTTTTCCATTTTTTGTACAGATAGAGTGGGAGGGAGAGAGAGGAAGAGAGAGAGCGAGAGAAACATCGACGTGAAAGGGACACATCGAGTGGCTGCCACCCGCACAGCCAACCAGGGCCGGGGACAAACTGCAACCGAGGTACATGCCCTTAGCGGGAACCGAACCCCGGTCTCTCCAGACCGCAGGCCGACGCTCTAACCGCTGAGCCAAACCGGCCAGGGCCCTCCTGCTCTATCTTAAGGTAAATGCAAAAATGTCCTCTGTCCTCAGGTAAGGCTAAAAAAAAAAGTGCCTTTAGGACAAAAAACCAATACACATTCTTAGATCATTTGTAGAGTTTGTTTCTTTTTTCTTTCTTTTTTTGTGGTATGTGCCAAACCCGGGACTCTCTGGTCCACAGGCCAACGCTCAACCGCTGAGCCAAACTGGCCAGGGCTGTAGAGTTTATTTCTACAAGTACCTGTACAGGAGTAGATACAAATATGGGATCATGTGAAAAATGAGATTGGGACCTTGTTTGCGGTGCCATGCTAGGGAAGGTGCTAGGCCAGGCCCTGTCCCCCAGCAGGAAGATGTCCAGGCTGTGGTCTCACTGGGGTGGGAGGTTCGAGTGGCACTGAGTGGGCAGGAGCCCTCCAGCTGGCCCTTGACCACCGGGAGGGGCCAGACCATCCTCCTCCTTCTCACAGACTGCCCAAGAAGACTAAACAAGATAATAAAAACAGCAAGTTATACAGTATCGAGTTATCAAATTACTGAACTAAATAAAGTACATGTGGATTAGGGTTCTTTCCCTCCCAGGGGAGAGAGCTGGATTTACACCAGTTCATTAGGAACCCAACATATTTTTTCCTTCTCCTTAAGGATCTCTCTGAATTGATGGAATCCCAAACATTGCTCCTGACTGTACTGGCCGTGAAGGTGAACATGGAACCGCATTCGTGTGTGACATGGGTGGAAGGGTGGCTTCTATCGGCCAAGAGATGGAGTCCCCTCTAGCCTGAGCTCTTGTTCTGCACTTAACAGATAGAAAATAGTCTTGCAGCTTTTGAAGAAAAGGCAGAAAGGAATTTATTACTGATGTGCCGAGAGAAGGAGACACTCCTAAAAAAGGCCCATGAGCTGAAGCGCAAACTTCTCCTCTGTCAGAGGAAACGGGAGCTGGTGGATGTCCTCAACCCTCAGGTCAGCCATAGCCACAGTCTCCGGGCTGTGTGTCCTGAGTGGGTCATTGTGATGTTTGGAGGGATTATTTACAGAGGTTGTTGCTCCTTGCCTGGGTCTAAGTCTGTGCTTGGCTTTTGACACCACCGGGTGTTGGTATGTGATAGTTGATAAGAGGATGAGCCTGTAATGTTAAGTACCAATCTGCAAGAGGGACTGCCCTTTCAGCAAACACATGCGCAATTCTTCAGGCACCCACAGCTTGTGCTGAGTGACAGGAAGACATGTTTCAGGTCTGCCCAGGGAACCACGCTGCTGGTGGGAGGCACAGTGTTGGCACCATATGGCCAGTGCTGAGACAAAGCTGTCCGTGCCGAGGAAGTCATGGAGCAAACCCCTGGAACCTGGAAGGCCGATCAGGGCTGTGGCGTCTCCTGCAGTATATGCTTGTCCTGGGGCTACCATAACAAAGCCCTATAGACAGGGCAGCTTAAACAGCTAACACTTACTCGTCCTCAGTTCTGGAGGCTGGAAGGCCGAGATCAAGGCGTCAGCAGAGTTTGCTCCTTCCAAGGGCTGTTAGGGAAGAATGTGTCTTAGGTCTCTCCCCTTGACTTGTAAATGGCTGTCTTCTGCCTGTGTCTCTTCACGTGGTGTTCTTCCTGTGTGCGTGTTTGTCTCCAAATCTCCCCCTTTTATAAGGACAACAGGCATATTGATCAGTGCCCACTGTAATGACCTCACCTAGGCTCAGTTCCTCTGTAAAGACCCTGTTCAAATCTGGTCATCTACTGAGGGGTTGGTGGTTTGGACATCACCAGGAATTACAGGGCTAAAAAGACACAGTTCAGCCTGTAACACCCAGTGGTGCATGTGTTCATCATGTGACCAGGCTGTGGGCTGAGAATGGGGTCACTGTCTTCATGGAGTGCAAGGGAAAGAAATGACAAATAATGAACCCTTACAATGCCCTGTGAGGACCTGCATAACATGTATGAGGGAAAAGGGGATTGTCAGGGATGCCTTGAGGTGGGGTAGGCGTTTCAGCTCAGTGTGCCAAAGCAGGAGGGCACAGTCTTCCTGGGTGCACTGTGATCCCAACTGAGAGCCAGCCTTGGAGTGTGCTGGAAGGCAGATGTGTGTTCATGGCAAGGAGGGTGGCCAGGAGTGACGGGAGAGCCGATTGCACCCGCTGAGCCTCCCGGAGGATTCCCTAGGAGATCCTGAAAGAGCAGCCTGTGTCTTAACCTCACATGTGCCATCTGTGAAACTTCAGGGCAGTGACTGCAGGGTCTCGTCTCATAGGCCCCTTTCCCTCCTGCCTGCAGATGGAGATGCTCAGTCCCTATGAGGCTGTGTCTGAATGCTTTAAGGAGCAGTACAAGACATTCGCAGCGGCCCTGGACACCACGAGGCACGAACTGCCTGTGAGATCGATTCACCTAGACGGAGACGCGCAGCAGTTCTTAGGTAGGAAACGGCATCTGCCGGGCAAGGAACAGGAAGAACTGCCAGTGGCTGTTGGCATTTCTTGCATGCTGGTACCTTTATTCCTTCGTGTCATCCTCACAAGCCTCCTCTTAGGTAGATGTCATGTCTGCCTTCAAATAACAGAGGATGCAGGGTGCTGGCAAGACTGGTGTGTCCAGCATGGCACCCCAAGTAAGGACTATGCTGGAATTGAAACCCAGGTCTGTGGTTTACCCATTGATTTCCCACCCTGCTGAAAGGCATTCTTAGGGAACGGTCTGCAATCCTCCAGCCTTGGGAGGGGGCTCTACAAAGGTACATTGTTGTCTGGGGCAGTGATAGGGCTGCAGACCCCCACCCTGTCCTGCCTTCTACACAGAGCCAAGGGGTCCCTTTCCTGCAGAGGGGTCCCACCTGATCCTTCACTTGAAGAAATTGGCAGGTGTGAAAAGTACTGTGCTTGATATTAAAATTCTCTTTAGAACAGCTGTCCTCCCAAAGCAAGTTTTGCCCTAGATTTTGGTTATTTCTAATCCTCACCTGAGGATATTTTTCCATTTATCTTCAGATAGAGTGGAAGGGAAGGAGAGAGAGAAACATCGACATGAGAGAGACACATGGGTTGCCTCCCGCACAACCCTGACCAGGGCCAGGGACTGAACTGCAACCGAGGTATGTGCCCTTGACTGGAATCAAACCCGCGACTCTTCGGTCCACAGGCCGACACTCTAACCTCTGAGCCAAACTGGCCAGGGTAATTTTGGTTATTTCTTTTCTTTTCTTTTTTTTTTTAATTTATATTTTTTTATCCTCACCCGAGGACATTTTTCCATTTTTTGTTCAGATAGAGTGGGAGGGAGAGAGAGGGGGAGAGAGAGAGAGAAACATCGACGTGAAAGGGACACATCGAGTGGCTGCCACCCGCACAACCAACCAGGGCCGGGGACAAACTGCAACCGAGGTACGTGCCCTTAGCGGGAACCGAACCCGGGTCTCTCTGGACCGCAGGCTGATGCTCTGATCACTGAGCAAAATCGGCCAAGGCTGATTTTGGTTATTTCTAAACAGAGCTTTCATGAGCTTTTAAATATGCTGTGCTTGAGGCTGATGTAGTAAAACATTGCCACCTAAAATCAGGTGGACTTTCCCTACAGAACTTTGCAGAAACGCAGTTCAGAATCACAAACAGTTGCTGTACTGGCAGTCTCAGAGATTTAAAACACATTTTTAACAGTTTTATTGATACATAATTCAGATACCATACAATTTGCCCACTTAAAGTGTACAATTCATTATTTTTTATTTTTTTTAAATACACTTACTTTTTTTTTTATTTCTTTATTTTTTTTTATCCTCACCCGAGGACATCTTTCCATTTTTTTGTTCAGGTAGAGTGGGAGGGAGAGAGAGGAACAGAGAGAGAGAGAAAGAAACATCGATGTGAAAGGAACACATCGAGTGGCTGCCACCCGCACAACCGACCAAGGCCGGGGACAAACTGCAACCGAGGTACGCGCCCTTAGCGGGAACCGAACCCGGGTCTCCGGACCGCAGGCCGACGCTCTAACCGCTGAGCCAAACCGGCCAGGGCTAAATACACTTACTTTTTAAAAAATATGTTTTTGCTAATTTTTAGAGAGAGAGGAAAGGAGAGGGAGAAATAGAAACTTCCATGAGAGAGACACATCGATTGGATGCCTCCTGGATGCCCCCCACTGGGGATCGAGCCTGAAACCTGGGCATGTGCCCTGACTGGGACTTGAACCGGAGACCTCTAGGTCCATGGATCAATGCTCAACCACTGAGTTACCAGCTGAGCTGTTTTTTATTTTTTATTATTTATTTTTTAAATTTTGTTTTGTTAATCCTCACCTGAGGATATTTGAGGAAGGGAGAGAAAGAGAGAACCATTGATGTGACAGAGACACATTGGTTGCCTCCCGCATGACCCCAACCGGGACAGGAAATCGAACCTACAACTCAGGTACATGCCCTTTATCAGGAATCGAACCTGAGTCTCTTCAGTTCGAGGGGCTGATCCTCTGACCACTGGGCCAAACCAGCCAGGGCAAGTCATTGTTTTTTAGTATATTCATAGGGATGTGCCACTATTGCTGCAATCTAATTTTAGCACATTTTTGTTTCCCTCAAAAGAAACTCGGTATCTATTAGCTGTCACTGCCCATCACTACCCCTCTCCCAGCCCTAAGCAATAACTGATTAACTTCCAGACGAAGACCATTTTTAATAAAATTAAGCCTTTTCCAATGTGAAATAGTATATATCTGACATGGAATCTTTTTTTTTTTTTTTTTAATTTTTTTTCTTTATTAATTTTAGAGAGAGAGGAAGGGAGAGGGAGAGAGATAGGGACATTAATGAGAGAGAACATCGATTGGCCGCCTCCTGCATGCCTCCCACTGGGGATCGGGCCCACAACCTGGGCATGTGCCCTGACCAGGAATCAAACCAGTGACCTGTTGGTGCATGGGTTGATGCTCAACCACTGAGCCACACTGGCTGGGCTTTTTTTTTTTTTTTTTTTTAATTTCTTTTCTTGACATGGAATCTTGAAAATGAGCCTGTTGTAAGTTACAGCAATCAGTGGTACATCTGTAACTCTTAGACTCCATCTCAGAAAAGTCCCTTAGATAACTGACAGGAGCTGGGATTAGGGAGTGTATGAGTTTCCTTAGGCTACTATAACAAAATACCACAAACCAGGTAGCTTAAAACAACAGAAACTTATTCCCTCTCAGCTCAAGGAGCCAAAAGTCCAAAATCAAGGTGTGGGCATGGTTGGTTCCTCCTAGAGGCTCTGAAAGAGAATCCATCCCAGGCTTCTCTCACAGCCTCTTGTGTTGCCAGCAACCCTTGGCCTTCCTGGGCCCCCGGCAGCATCACTGCAGTCTCTGCCTTCGTCTTTGCATGGCCTTGTCCTTTGAGCACCTCTGTATCTAAATTTTGCTCTTAGAAAGGCACCAGTTATTGGAATAGGCCCTACCCTACAACCTTATTCTAACTCAGTTACATCTATAAAGACCTCATTTACAGCAAGGTCATATTCACAGATACTTGAGATTAGGGCCTGAACATGTCTTTCTGGGAGGAGATAATTCAGACCACATTGAGGGGAAAGGATGTATATTTGTAAGAACCCTTATAAGGTTCCCAAAATGTTATAAGTTTGGCTGTGACGTGTGTATATGTGTAGCTGGTAGACGGGACACGTGCCAGGAGTGGAGAGGTGCTGCTTTTCCTAGAACAGGTGAGGCGCAGTGCATTGTAGGCAGCACTCTACTGGGGTGGGAGGTGCAGAGATGCTGGAACGAAGAGAACCACAAGATTCTTTTTAAGTTATTCACAGCACAGGCTTTCTTCACCTTTTGCATTTGTTTCTGTTGGGGACACTGGAGTGGCATTCCAGATCTATTCTGATGTCTGTCTGGACGGTGGACACACCCTATGGTCTCAGGCTGCCATGATCTTAGGGAAAGCGACACAGAGGTGGTACGAGGGCATGGATGTCTTTCTTCATGACTTCCTTCTGCCTTTGAGCTCTTCATAACATGAGAGCGTTCTAGCGAAACAAAAATCTAGTCAGCCACCTAGCTCACGTGTGGGTTGCTTGGGGCACCTTGAAGCAGGCTGATGACCCCTCCCCATCCCCCCAGATGATTTGCAGCGGGAATTGATGACCACACGCCGTCTGCTGGGAGAACTTGGGGTCTGCAGTTCAGAAGAAAATGGGAAAGCACTAGACCTGCTGGGTGAACTCAAGGAAGTGACTCAAAAGAAGGATCTAGAGCTCCGAAGGTATTTCAGAAAATATTTTAAGAAAAAGATAGCAAAAAAATTGTGTGTGTGTGCAGTTTATTTAAAGAAGAAGAAATAGCCCCTGTCGCAGAGATGAGCCGTTAGTGGCTGCTCTGTGCAGAGAGCAAGGCAGCTCTGGCATTTGCAGGGGTCCAGCAATGCAGGGAGGGGGAGGGGTAAGAAGCTTCAGCCCAACTGAAACCCCAGGTGAGTTCTCCAACAGCCAAAACAGAAAAGGGTGATAGCATCACTCCTCATTCACTTCCTCAGAGCAACAGCACTGCAGGGACCCTTGGATCAGTCTGTTCATGTTTTAAATGGTTTTCCAGGGTAAGGGCTTGGGGCGATCTTTTTGGAACTTGTTATTGAAGTATAAGTACATATAGAAAAAGCACATATTGTAGTGGTACAGCTTGGTGGGTTTCACCGTGTGCCCTCGTGACACCAGCCCCAGGTCCAGCGTAGCCCATGGCCCGTCCCTCAACGCCACCCCAGCTTCTTTCTCTTACTGTCTCGGGGATTTCTAACCATAGGGCTTTCTTTCACATCTTCCAAAAATAATCCTTTTCTTTACAATGCTAAACATACTTCCTGTGATGCTTAAAATATTTGAAAGGTGCTCATGAAAAACAAATGCCACCCACTGTGGAGTTACCTGCTTCTACATGTGCCCCAGGATGAAATCAGGACGCGCCAAAGCATTCTGGATTGCAAGGGTCATGGGTTTGAGTGGTTAAACATGTCTGTTTAGTACCCGTTTGCCCACTACCGTTTACTTCTAGGGCGGCCTAGGATGCTGTCCCGTTCACAGCTCTGTCTCCTCACATGGCATTGATTCTCCCTAAATCTTGGACAAGTGAATCTTTTCTTTCACGCCCGCCTAGTCCTGTTTTGGGGGGCTTCCCTGTTTGAGTTCTGTTCAGACAACTTATTGACATGCACTTTCCCATGAGTACTCGGGAGGATTCAGCCCGAACCCGCTGCCTCACGCTGCCACTGTGGCAAAGGTGGAGGCACTTTTGTTTCGTTGGGCCTTCGGGCACAAAGGGCAAAAAGGCATCATCCCTCCTCTTATTCCTACAGGAGCTTTGCCCAGGTGCTGGAACTTTCTGCTGGAGTAAGTAAAGAGGCAGCCTTAATCAACCAGGAGGTCTGGGAAGAGGCCCAGGGCCCCATGGCCCCCCACCGGTGGTATTTCATTGAGGAGGGCACCCAAAGGGAAAGTCGGGGAGAGGCCGGCAGCCTGCTCCTCTCAGGTGCTGACAGGCCATGTGCACTGTGAATCCACATGCAGGCTGTGTGTCCAGCCCAAGCGGGACCTTCCTGCAAACCATCAGGAAGAAAGCACATCCTGTGCCACTTGTCCAGGGCACGTCTGCCAGAGAGGCAGGGAGGTGGTACTCTGGAAATCCAAGCACTTTAGTTTCTTAGTTCAGCAGTATAGCCGTTTCTGTGTGATAATCTTGTTTGATATTTAAAAAATAAAACTGTTTGGCAATTGAGCCTTGGTTTCTATGTAAGGGGGAACAGAAGAGGACCTCTGAGACATTATGAGTATTTCACTCTTAAGATGATTCCTGTCCTTCAGGCACAGGGTGGTTTTGTTTAATATCCGACAGCAAGTTAGGAGTTGGTCCTCAACTGGAAATTCTCCATCCAGTCCGATGACCCAGCAGCAGATCACTGGGAGGCACCTGCGGGCTTTCACTGTTGCTCTGGTCTACACTCCATGCTGCTCTGTGCCACAGAGAATTTGCATAGCCAGCTCCTCAGCTCCTTTCTGCACCACATGGGCTCCAGCAGCCCTGCTAGTTCCCATGGACATGCCTTCTGCATTGCGACACCGGAGGGGTAGCACTCCAAGGGAGGCGCAGTATCCGTCCCCATCATGCATTCTGGGAAGAGACATGCAGCCACTTGATCTAAAGCACATTCATTCAACTTCCACCTTAATTCCACCGACCCTTAAACTCCTACCTGGGGCTTCATGGGGACTTCGTCAGCAAGTTTGGGATTTATAGTTTCAGGTAGGGGAAGCTGTCCCCAGTCAGACATAATAGCCATTCCCATAAGCCATGCAGGTCAAGGAGACACAAACTGATCCCACAAGGTGGGTTTAAACCTTCCAGTTTCCGTCCACACCACCAATCCTTTCATTTCCAGGTTTCCAAGTCCATTGGAGCCCTCATTAGGGATTCCCATGGAGCTCCTATATTAAGAGCCCCAGAAACTTCACCCTCCCCTATTTGTGTGCAAAAAGATTTGGGTCCATAGAAGGGCACAGACACCCCAGGAACCCTTGTCCTTTTTTCATTATTATTTTTTGATTGATTTTAGAAGAAGGGAGGGGGAGATAGAAACATAGATGAGAGAGAACATCGATTGGCCACCTCCTGCATGCCCCACACTGGGGATCAGGCCCACAACCTGGGCACGTGCCCTGACTGGGAATCGAACCAGCGACCTCTTGGTGTGTGGGTCAATGCTCAACCACTGAGCCACACTGGCCAGGCCTTTTGTCATTCTTAATTAGTTGTATTAGTGCCACATTCTTGTTATAATCTCTGCCTTCTTGCATTTCAATTTTCTCCAAACTAAAAAACAGTGGGCTTGTTTGGGGTCCTCGGGTGCTCAGGGACCAGCAGGAGGTCACCTACCCCACTCACTCCTCCACAGTGCTGTGTTCAGACCTTTGCTTCAGCCCTGTCAAATGGGCAGGGGTGCACAGCACGCTTCAGGGAGGCAGGGGCTCCCAGGTGCTGCAGGATGAGCAGATGGTATGTCAAATACAATGAACTGCTGGGAATTCAACTTAAAACTACTTAAGAAACAGCCCTGGCCAGTTTGGCTCAGCGGTTAGAGCGTCGGCCTGCGGTCTGGAGAGACCCAGGTTCGGTTCCCGCTAAGGGCATGTACTTCGGTTGCAGTTTGTCCCCGGCCCTGGTTGGGGCCCTGGTTGGTCGTGCGGGTGGCAGCCACTCGATGTGTTCCTTTCACATCGATGTTTCTCTCTCTCTGTTCCCCTCTCTCCCTCCCACTCTACCTGAACAAAAAATGGAAAAATGTCCTCGGGTGAGGATAAAAAAAAAAAAAACTACTTAAGAAACAACTCTGCATCATGAAAATGAATCATGTGGAAAGATTGCCAAGATTAAAAAACAAAAATGAAAATAGGTCAAAATATGTAGGGTACAGAACAATTTGTGTTAACATTTCTAACAACCTGGAAAGATAAAAATGGGAGAAAGGGGACCCTGAGGTGGGTGGGATGCTTGCTTATTATTGCTGCAGTTTACATTCCTTTAACATTTTGGTTAAATATTTTCTGTGTATATTGCATTTTTGTTAAGAAATCTATACAACAGATCTCGACCAAGCAGGCCTTCTAAATGCTCTTGCTCATACGTAGATCACGGTGTCTCAGCGAGCAGCACTCTCCCAACTAAAAATGTGTCTGGACATTGTCCAGTGGCCCTGGGTGTTAGAATTGACCCCCGTGTGAGAACCCTTATGATGCTTTAGGCCCATTCTAGTTCCTGCCTCAGCCACACCATCTTTCTCAGCTTCATTCATTGACCTCAACCCAATTTCTGAAGAAAAGACTAGAATGCAGTTCTATGTGGCTGCTTCTCAACTATGACTGGGCTGAGAATTAGCACAAATTCTGGAAAAAATATAAACCAGAGTTGACAAACGACGGACCTCAGGCCAAACCCATCCTGTTTCCTCGTGTGTGTCAGTAAAGTTTTATTGTACATGTAAAGTTTCATGTACATGTGTCTGTGACTGCTTTCATGCCACAAATGGCAGAATTGAGTCTGGAGACCCATCTGTTTTGCAAAGCCTAAAATCCTTACCATCTGGTTCAGAAGAGGTTTGCTAATCCTTGATCTGAACAATAAAGTGGGAAATCTAACTTGTAAAAGAGCATATTTAATATTTTCCTATGGGACTTAAAGCTCTCATCATTTTGAACAAGGGAATGTAGGCTGAGAAACAGTTTTGCTTTTTGTGAATTGCCCTCATGCAAAAGAAAAGCTGGCGAGGTGGCACATGAGGTGCTGGACGAAGTGCTGCACTGGAAGGAGCCCTCAGACTTCTGGAATGAGCACACTGACTAGAACTGAACACCAAATATGCCAACAGCAATGGTCAGAGTGGCAGATTGTGAGGGAGCTTCCTCATCCTGCTGTACATTTTCCTCTCACTTATTTTTTATCCTCACCCGAGGACATTTTTCCATTTTTTGTTCAGATAGAGTGGGAGGGAGGGAGGGAGAGAGAGAAAGAAACATCGACGTAAAAGGGACACATTGAGTGGCTGCTACCCACATGACCAACCAGGGCCAGGAACAAACTGCAACCAAGATACGCGCCCTTAGCGGGAACTGAACCCGGGTCTCTCTGGACCGCAGGCCGACGCTCTAACCACTGAGCAAAACTGGCCGGGGCTCCTCTTAGTTTTTGTTTGGGGAATTTTTGTGTTTATTTGCGCCAAATTATCAACATATGTCAGGGTGCAAGATCTCAAATACTCCTCACATCTAGAATTCGAAAAACTACAGTTTTTATATCATTTTGGTGACAGCCTCTAGAAGGAGGGGTTGGGAGAGGCCATCACAGCAGACGGGAAATGAGAAGAACCAACCAAGATGGTGCTCAATCCTCCCTGAGTCAGCAGGGAAACAGTCAAAACAAAGAACTGATGCCAAAAGGCAATACCATTATGGCGACACAGCTCTCTGGAGTATGAGAGGAAGTGGGTTCCTCTGTGTGGGGAGGTGTTATAATCTCCCACTTCCCCACCATCCTCCCTTATACCCCAACACACACGAAATCTGCCATCACAGTAAAACTCTGCCAGCAACCCTGACTGTCCTAGAGAGGAGTGAGGGAATTGTAACTTTGCATACCTGAAACAAATTTATTTATTTATCTTATTTTATTATTTATGTTATGTTATGTTATGTTATGTTATGTTATCCTCACCCAAGGACATTTTTGCACTTATCTTCAGTTAGAATGGGAAGGAGAGAGGGGGAAGAAAGAGAGAGAGGCATCGAAGTGAGAGAGACACATTGACTGGTTGCCACCCACACAATCCCAACCGGGGCCAGGGACAAACTGCAACCAAGATATGTACCCTTAGCGGGAACCGAACCCAGGCCTCTCTGGTTCGCGGACCGACGCTCTAAACGCTGAGTCAAACCTGCCGGGGCACAAATTTATTTTTTTAAATCCTCACCTGAGGATATTTTTCTATTTATCTTCAGATAAAGTGGGAGGGAGAGAAAGGGAAAGAAAGAGAAACACCGGTGTAAGAGGGACACATCGACTGGTTGCCTCCTGCATGACTCTGACCAGGGCCGGAGACAAAACCAAACCGAGGTACATGCCCTTGGCCGGAATTGAACCTGCGACTCATTGTTCTGCGGACCGATGCTCTACTGCTGAGCCAAACCAGCCAGGGCACACCTGAAACAAATTTGACCACCGCACCCATCACTTCTGGAATCAGAGCTGTTTCATACCCCTGCTGCCCCTTGTCGTTACTCACCTTTGCAATTCACTCCTAGGCATATACGCAAAAGAATTGAAAACAGGTTTGGGCTTAGTCTGTTTGGGCTGCTATAACTGAATTCCACAGACTGGGTGGCTTACAAGTAGCAGGAACTTATTTCTCACAGTTCTGGAGGCTGGAAGTCCAAGATCAAGGCATTGGCAGATTTGGTGTTTGGTAAGAGCCCTCTTCCTGGTTAATAGATGGCCGTTCGCTCCCGATGTTCTCACATGGCAGAAGAGGTGAGGAAGTGTTCTGGGGCCCCTTATATCAAGGCACTAAACCCGTTCATGAGAATTCCACCATCATGACCTAATCACCCCAGTGGCCCCACCTCCCAATACCGTTACATTGGGGGTTAGGGTTTTAACATGAGTTTTATGGGGTCACAAATATTGTCTATAGCACAGGGACTAAAAAACGTACATGTAAATGGTCATAGCAGCACTATTTACAGTAGCCAAAAGGTGGAAACAATCCAAATGTCCATCAACAGATGAGTGGATAAACAGAATGTGCTGTGTCCACACAATGGAATATTATTCACTATACAAAGGAGTGAAGCACTGACACGTGCTACAGTGTGGGTGAACCTCAGAAACACTGAGCTGAGGAAGAGAAGCCAAACACTAAAGGACAAGTATTGATTGTATGCTTCCACTCATATGAGGTGCCTAGAACAGACAAAGTCATGGAGACAGAAAGTAGAATAGAGGTTGCCAGGCGCTGGCAGATGGAGAACAGGACGTTATTGCTAGTGAACACAGAGTTTCTGTTGGATGAAGAAAAATTTTGGAACTAGATAGTGGTGATGGTTGCAGAAGGTAAGTGTAGTAAACGTCACTGAACTATACAGTTAAAGAAGGTTAAAAAAATAAAGCCCAGCCAGA